ACACAGGTGTTTATATTTGAGCTAACGACATGTCCAGAGATCAAAGGTTTCCATGGTGATCAGTGAGAGGAGAGCCTTTTCATTGTTCTGAATGAGAGATAAACCTCTTACATGTGAACGTTTTGTTGAAGAACCGTAACAAATATCTTTGAAATTTCAAAACGTGAAGCATGTCAAGGAAGTTGAGTATCTCAAGTGTAATTCTCGTGTAGTTTCGGTTTAATAATGTGGCCTTTTTGGCACCTTTTTAAAGGTGTGCGGCTGCTGCCGGGAGGAAATATCTGCCTGAAATTACAATGGGGTTTAATGGAGGAATGTTGAACGTTTTTGTCACTTCATGCCCTCAAAAAGCATTTTGTTTAATTATTTTTTGATTAATTATTTGTCATTTTTCAAGCTACGAGATGTTTTCCTACATTTGTCATGATAAATTATGTCTCAGGAATGTAGGGTTTGGGAATTATGGCAGGTTTAAAAGAAAATATGAAGGCAAAATTAAATCTGTCCTCCACTCTAGCTGTGACATCACACACTCTAAAATCTGAAGAAGGCCTCTTTACCAAGGTCTGAACAATGTTTAATATCTCTAAAAGTGTTACACGAATAATGTCAGAAAGATGTGTAACATTTTAAAGTTGGAATGAGGTTTCTGAGTGAAAGTATGAAGGAGCAGTTAGCAGTTGAATTGCATGACGATTTGTTTTAGTCTGAAGATTTTCTCCATTGACTTCAATGTTAAAAACTTGATGTATTATGGGATGTATCTCTGGAATTAGGAAAGTTATGAATGATAAAAGTAATAGCCATCGATTCCCGACCGAGCTGAACGTTGTGATGTTTGAACGGAGTTTCTGCGATGTTCAATGTGGGGAAAGAAGAGGCGCAAAATAACCCGGCGGAATAATAAAGAATTTTGTGCGTAGCATAACAGATAGTTGGAATGCTGTGTCAGCATTCCCACTAAACCATGTGTTGCACTTGACTCAGCAGTCGACCATCACTTCATTTCCCTGCAGTGTTTACATGTTGCCTTGTCTAGTTTGAGTGGAGTTAAGATCTTATATCTTGGATATTAAATATATAAGATGATTCAATATACGCCGGAAATACTTGAAATGTAGTAAACAAACAAAACTAGCACAATTGCAAATAACCCCCCTCTCACCTCAACGTAAATTTGATCTCCTTCATGTTTGCGACCACCTCTGCTCGTCAGTGAATTGCAAACGTCCTATCAGACACAGACAGATGTGTTAGTCCATTAATAAACAATATTATATGAACAACATTTTCATACTGTAGTATTTAGCACCTTGACTCTGCTGTAGACTTTGTTTGAATTTGCCAGAACGTGCCATAATGACAAATGATGGTTAAGCTGGTATACATCAAATCAAACAAGTTTCAGCTTATACTCCTGGACCAGACCTTGGTTTCACGTAGAAGTATAACCTTTTATAGTTATATAGAGGATTTGAACAATATATCAGTTTTATATAGATTCTGTGACATAACACTAGATATCGCCTTAGATTTTCAATATCATCATCAAAGTGTCTTTCCTTGTTTCAAAAGGCTGCATTACAGTAAAGTTGTGTCATCTAACCTGACCTGTCCTTGCTGTTTCTAATATTAGCCTCTATCCACTTAGCCATTATATCGACATAATTGATTGTTATCTATCAAGTCTATGTAAATATGTTTGGTCAAACCTACAATATTGTTGCAATATCAATAATGGTAATTGGTTAAAAATATGGGGATATTTGATTTATTTCCAACACGTGCAATTTCTGAGATGCTGGAGAAGCTACTTCTACCTATAAATGTGAGCCATCCCTTTTGCCAAGGACAGCAACCATTTTAAACTGGCAACTCACATCAATAGATCCTTTGGAGAAGCAGGTTCATTAGTCCATTACCCATCAGCCTACTGTTGCCGACACTGATGTTAAGTTTGGGGATAATTAGTTGTAACGTACACTGGGATAATTCTGAACATTAAGAAATGCACACTGCAGTAAAAACAGCATGATGCAACTCTAATGAGCGCCCAGAGTTGGTATCAAGATGGAAGAATGAAATATTCATGGAGGATTGTGAAGCCCGGTCTGAACAGAGACACTTTACAACCCTAATGAACCACTTAGCCTCCTCAGGCCTTCACCCTACTTTTACAGCACCTAAGACAGTCACATCAGGTCACGGGTGCTATATTTACCTGAAAGTGGAGAAGTTCAATCAACCAGACTAACATTAATGACATGCATAACATAGCTAAAAATGTTCAGCTCGAACTGTCAAGGGTAGTGTCCCAAAATGCAAAACATGAGGGAGACACACACTTGTGAAAACTGACTGATAAATACCCCAATTTGTTTAGCAGCGAATCTAACAAATCATTTATTTGCTTGAAAAAGCAATGTTGATTTCTGAATCATTTAGCTGAGCAGCAAATATGCATTTGACAATAAAGACGTGCCGTGTTAATTTATCTTGCAAAACATGAGTTTTAATGAATTTTTATACCATCATGAACATTGACTGTAGTGCCTTCCACTAATGAAATTGCATGCAATAATAAGGGACTTCAATTACATGTAGTTTTAAAATATAAAATATTGTGTCACTTATTTGACAGATAACTTACACACATAGCACAACTACACAGCCTGTATTTTTGTTAGGGATGCTCCGATCGCCAATTTTGGGGGCCATCGCAGATCGCCGATCCGATCGAGTGGGCGGGGCCTAAATGGAAGATTTAAACATCACTTTAAATCTTCCATTTAAAGTGATTTTTAAAACTCAGTTAATGGGGCTCATTCACTGGAGCTTCCACAAACAACAATGAACTTAATTATTACGTTCAAATGATGTACATTATTCAAGGTTACATTCACTTTGGATAATAACATGGGAGAAATTAGCGGAAGCGCTCTCTTTTCCTCTCTCCCTTTCTCTCTCTCCCCCGCTCTCCCGGCCCATCCACACAGTGGCTTTGGAAAAAGCTTGGAGGTGGGCGTGTCTGAAGAAGCTTCCAACGCCGCTGTGTGGACGGGCCGTCCCTCTCCTGACAGCCTGTCAGTATCTCATGCAGCTCACTGATCCAGTAACTAATGAGCAACCCGACAGTGAAGAATAAATATATTTATAACTAGTTTAGCTAGTTCCAGGGGTAGATAAAATAGCTAAGTGTGTTAGTTCTAACTCCTAGTGTGTGTTCTGCTCCGCTCAGCGGTCCGGCGGGCGGAGCTGCAGGATTTCTGCTTCACACACACCTTGCATACCGCTACTTTACTTTCTTTTTCGGACACCTTAAAATAATGCCAGACCGGTGAAGCCATTTTGGCGAGCTTGTTTTGCCGAGCACAGAGAAAAGTGTCATGTATTTTACGTCATGCGATCGGCTTTCGCGATCGGCATGTTTAGAGAGCACCGATCCATCGGTAGAGAGTGAGTATCGGCCGATCTCCATTGGTGACCGATCGATCGGATCATCCCTAATTTCAATGTTCATTCTTCTCTCCACAGAACCTCCCACCATCAGCTATAAGCTGTGTTGGGGGCAAGATATTTACATTTGGTTCATACAGACTTGGAGTGCACACAAAAGGTATGTCAAGTCATTGTGGAAACATCATCCATCAACTTTGATTACAACATTTGTAATATTCTTGGCTATATTGGTATTCAAAAGGAGCAAAGAGAGATTGAGTTATCAGAACATAACTGTGACACAGCAGTCAACCCTGTCTAAGCAGGCGTAACTGTTTGTTTTTGAAAAGCTCAGTTCACCCTGACCACATTACATTGCATTTAGCTGACGCTTTTATCCAAAGCGACTTACAATAAGAAGGTACAAACTTGAAGAAAACAGAATCATATAAGTACATCAGGTTTCATAGAGCCAAAACATTTCAAGTGCTACTCAACTGGCTTTAGATAAGCCAGTCCTTTTATTAGTATACAAGTGCTTTTGTTAGTAATTCTATCGCTCGAAGTGGAGTCGAAAGAGATGAGTTTTCAGTCCGCGCCGGAAGATGTGTAAGCTTTCTGCCGTCCTGATTTCAATGGGGAGCTCATTCCACCATTTTGGAGCCAGGATAGCAAACCCACGTGTTTTTGCTGATGGGAACTTGGATCCCCCTCGCAGTGCGGGTGCAGCGAGCTGTTTGGCTGATGCAGAGCGGAGTGCACGTGCTGGGGTGTACGGTTTAACCATGTCCTGGATGTAGGATGGGCCAGATCCATTCGCAGCATGGTACACAAGTACCAGTGTCTTGAAGTTGATTCTAGCAGTTACCGGAAGCCAGTGAAGGGAGCGGAGGAGCGGCGTGGTGTGGGAGAATTTAGGAAGGTTGAAGACCAGACGAGCCGCTGCATTCTGGATGAGCTGCAGAGGTCGGATGGCACATGCAGGTAGACCAGCCAGGAGGGAGTTGCAGTAGTCTAGGCGAGGAGATGACGAGAGCCTGGCCAGAACCTGCGTTGCTTTCTGGGTCAGCTGGGGACGTATCCTCCTGATGTTGTAAAGCGTGTATCTGCAGCAGCGGGTTGTAGCAGCAATGTTTGCAGTGAAGGACAGTTTGTTATCTAGGATCACACCCAAATTCCTTACAGTCTGAGTCGGGGAAACAACAGAGGGGCCGATGTTGATTGTTAGGCCAAGAGTGGGACAATCTTTTCCCGGAAGGAAAAGTAGTTCAGTCTTGTCAAGACCACACTAAAGCACGAGGTTAAAAGAAAAGTCAGTTAGTTATTCAAAATTCTGTACGCTTTTTATGGCGTAATTTATTCAAACATGTTAAAAGTTAGTGAGCAAATGTAATTCATACCTTTCCCTGGTTTTGTACAGACCAGCCTATGTTAAGCATTTCAACATTTTTCATTGATTGCAGAATATAAATATATATTTAACAGTAAATACTAAAACCTAATTATAAGAACCCTTACTACATTGATTTGACTTCACAATTATTTTTGGATTTGTCAGGATTGCTTTTATCGAAGCAGAATTTGAGACCATTGAAGATCTACAAGCTTTAGTGTAGAGAAATGGATATGTTGGTGGCACAAAAGGTGGAAGATAGACACTCACCTGTAGTCTTACAAACATCTTAAAAAGGTTTTGTATTGTTCCTATTTACCTGCCTTTTTACAGGGTTTACTCAAGGATATAATTGTCTAGAAATAAACATCTGTCTTTTATTTAATTAAAAAAAATCGAATCCTTGAAACATTGTCAGCTTTGACTGTACAAAGCAAGGCCAGGCACATTACTAAATTCTAAGGTTGCTGCACTTCACTTGAGCTACTCTTCGTGTTGTTTTATAACACAAACTCTCTTTAACCTTGACTGCCGAAACTTTAATCAGTTTATTTATCAGATTGTTATGAAATTCATAATCCCTTTAACCTACTGGTAGTGGGCAGCGTCGTATACTCTTCTGAAAGTGACTGTTTCTTACAGGGGCTGATATCGATGCCTTGTGTGTGGCTCCACGCCATGTAGAAAGAAGTGACTTTTTCTCATCTTTCTTTGAGAAATTCAAACAGCACGAAGAGATCAAAGACCTGAGGGTAAGTTTCTGTCGCATGTCTGGCCGTTTCCTTATGGAGGAAGCCCATGTTTCATTCCCGAGTTCAAAACATTCATTGTAAATAGTGCAAAAGCAACTTGCCTACTTACATCACCGCTCCCGAGGGGGAACTGTGGAATTCAAAATGCATAACAAAACCTAACATTGCTTAATATTCTTCAATTATATCCTGAAAGCCGAGACACTTTATTTTTGGCTGAATACATTGGAGCGTTATAATGAATGAACCCTCAGCTGAGCGCAATACCCAGGAGCATTAGCCTTGTTGTTTTAAGGTCTGCTCCTAATGTTAATTTCCCAAGGTGTGTCTTAATTGGCATCAATATAAATGATGAAACAATATATGTACACCCCTTTCAGTTTGTATTTGTTATGACACTAAATTCATTTTTTATTCGAAAAACCAAATTAGATGCTATGTTTAAGTGTTAACGTGCAGTTTAAAGTAAAAACTATTCTAATTTGCTATCCCAAAATGAAAGCTGTTAGAGCCTTTGGTGAAAAAGGGTTACACATGAAAAAGGGAGTACATGTGTTTATTGGATATTGTAAGAAGGAGGAGGTGATTGATTTGAACACACCCAGATCCCCAAAGACATCTTTATGTCACCGAGTTACCTGACATTTCTTTTTACAAGCTCTGTTTTCTCGACTTTGATTTTCACTTGTTGATCATGTTGATGTCAGTCGACTATACATTCTCTCAGATGTGTTGTTAATATTGTCTTTTGTGTTGCTTTCTCAAGGCTGTCGAGGATGCCTTTGTACCGGTGATAAAATTCAAATTTGACGGAATAGAGGTAAGTCACTTTGAAATGCGACTGTTGAATTCATACAGGGGTATTGCATAACTACAGGCATACTTCTCAGCAATTACCATTCTGGCAAAGCTTTTATAGATGTGTAGTAAAGACATTGGCAAGACTGTGATTTGAAAGATGACTTCCTGTCAGCTGTAGCTGTCCATTACAATAACATACAAATATATTTTTGTTGAGAACTTCATCAGAAAAATGGGTACAGATCAGTGTGAGAAAAAGTTTTTAGACAGTACTTGTCCATGGACAAGTGAGTTTGGCAATTTACTTGTCCGAATACATTTTTCACTTGTCCAGAATGGACACAAATTGGGGCCACTGGAATCTTCTTCTTTGCCATCGTATTTTACATTTTCCCACGGTTTTTAAGACACCGCTAACGTAAGTGAGCGGTAAGATTTTACTCCATCACACATAGGGTTGGGTATCGTTTGGATTAACATTAAATTATTGGCATTCTTTAATTTGTCATACTCCACTAAACATTTATCCTTATGTCTAACTGAATTACAAAAAGTAATTTATATAAAAAGAGGGTCAAACAGGTACCCTGAATTAAAAAATGGCAGAAGTTTCTTGGCCTTAAGGCTCTTGGGCTTTTATTGACCATAGCTTTTCGTCTTGGCCTTAGCAAAANTCTTATTTTAAAGTTACTTAACTGTATATAATTGTTTTTGTATCTTTGATTGTATCTTTAATTGTATTCATCTCTAATCTGTGTGAATCTGTGCTGTCCTGTTTTTCATTCTTACCCTATTGCTGTTTGAACTACTGAATTTCCCCACGGGGATTAATAAAGGTCAATTTGATCGTATCTTATCATATAATAGCCTCTGTAAAGTATTATAAATTGAAAAAAAATGCTTTTGTCCTCAAAAATAATATTGACATTTTATCCAATAATTTGTTTTCAATATTTTAATACGTATTGTTACAACAAATAGATTAATATTGTTGTTAAGTTATTGTTTGCACCTTAATTGTAAGATTAATTCCACTGTGTCACTATGTCACAAACTTTCTAGTGCCAACTCCTTTTTTATCTTTACTTATAAACATTGCTGATAAGGTAAATGATAGTCAGACATTTAATACCAAACCCACATATTCTCACAAAAAAACATGGAGAGAAAAAATATGTGGGCCTTACAATCTTTCCTTATTATTTACAGATATCAAGGACATGATTAAAAGAAAATGTAATATATCTATGCATTTTAACAATGGTATGACTTGGACAGTTCCAATGTTTAAAATACACAAAATATTTGAATTGTCACAAGCTAACAGACAGACATTCTCATTATATTGCTACATTTGGCCAACGTATCATCTCAGCTAAGTATTCAACGTAAGCGTTTATGTTAAGTTATTTATTATAATTGTTTCGACATATGTTGTATTTAGCTTCTTCAAACCCAGCGTGTTTACAGGTGTGTAACACGGCGCAGTGTGTGCAGCTAGCTTGTATAGAGCTTGTGTTAAGGCCTCGGTGGTGACGTGATAGGAGGTGCCTGCCTTCTGACGGTGGTTGCTCAGCGTGCTGCGCGAACACAAATGCCGTTACATTTGTAGTTTTGAGTAAAGAAAAAGTCTACAATAGCTGTTAAACGCATGTCAGGTGCTACCTTCCAAAAATTACTGTGCGTTTCGCTAATGAATTAGATATGAATATCCCCGCAGGATTGCGTGCTGCTCATACGTTATTTTATAAGAAGTGATTCCGGTTCAGTGGGAAGGTTTGAACTGCTCCAAAGTGACCATTGTTATAATCAGGTCGAGGCTGTTATCATTTCCACTTGCTGGCTTTCTTAGTTTTTTACGGGTTTACAGCAGAAAAACAGTGCAAGCTTTTTAGAGTGTCATGAAAGAAATGTCAAGGTAAGTCATGCATACGGTACATTTTCCTTTCATGAGCATCTTTGTTCGCGTTTAAGAGAGTCCTAAAGAATAGGCTAAAGGCTAACGTTAGCCAACTGTCACAACAACCAAACAAGGCCTGCAGCCACCATTTGTTGGCTAGCGCGCTTGTTTGTTGTTTCTTAACGTTGGTGGGACTATGACCATCAAAATGAACGGATTGCACGTGTTTTTGTTTGATAAAATGTCAACCCTTAATTAGGACTAACCGGAAAGCGAGTCGTTAGTTAGACAAATTCTTCCGTAGCAGCAAGCTAACGTTTGCTAACTTGCTAAATTAGCTAATTTGTTAGCGCCTGCAACCTGTTTGTAGCCTCTCGGCTAACGCTCGTTCGCCGCCAGCCTGAATACCAACATTAACGTAAATCACTTCAAACTCATTCCTGTATTTTCGATAAACTCACTTTTCAGATTTGGAATTGCTCGCTACTATGCTATCATTAACACGCGTGGTGTTATGTTATTGTAGTGGGCAATCCGGGGTGGATACTTCATTTAAATCGGTCGTTTAGTAGTGTTGGACTTGGGATTCTTTAAGTAAACACTAACATGCTAAACTCGTTAAGTTAATACAGGTTCGGGACGGTCCTGACATTATTGAATAAACTAAAAACACCATATCCTATGTTTTAATCCAATGCCTAAACGAGACTAGGGTCGAATGAAGAACAGATTATTAAACTACACTCAACTGTTATTGTTGCGTGAAGTTTACATTCTCATTCAATATTGTGTACAACGAACTGTTATCTGAATCCACCCAGTTTTGCTTTGCAGACTAATTCCAATTCTTTGTTCAGATAACATGGATATGTCTTCCTCTGATAACGTGCTCTCCTTTTGACTTCAAAGTTAAGCACATTGCTGTAGTACGTTTACACAGGTACGCGGTAATAATATAAAGCGGGGGAACATAAACTAGCAAAGCAATGCACTCACAATATGTGAATGATGCATCCCTTCGTTTTAACCTTGAAACCTTGTTATTTACTTGAGATGGAAATCAAGAAACAATGGCATGAAAAAACGAACATGGACAGTGTCGCGTAGTAGCTGTCATTTCATGTTTTGACTCCTATTCCCTTGTCGTGACCTCTTTTGCAGCGCCATGCCTGGTGGGCAGCAGCCTCAGAAACATTATGGCATCACCTCTGCCATCAGCCTTGCACCCCCACGAGAAATAGACCACCAGTACACCAAGAAGCTCTGTGATGCTATGAAACCATTTGGGGTGTTTGAAGATGAAGAGGAGTTGAACCATAGGTAAGAAAAATAAAGTCTCATTTTATTTTAGCCATAACAAGACTACTAGGCATCTTGAGTGCATACATTTCATAGTATTATGTTTGAATCTACATTTTTAGTAAACAATTTTAATTTGTGAAGTTGTGGTATAATTATATAATTTTCCTTCTCACTATATGATTGCCCCCACTAAAATTGTATTCTTTTTTTAGACTTGCAGTTCTTGGGAAGTTGAATAACTTTGTTAAAGAATGGATATCAGAGATCAGTGAACTAAAGGTGGGTTCTGTCAAATGCCTTCCAAGTAAAATATATGATTTATGTTGTATTATGGAGTCTTTTAGCTTAATGGTGACTATTTATTCAGAGACACCAAAGCTATCCATGGTGTTGCCCTATTGATCAAACGACATCATACTGATTTCAATTAGGGATGCTCCGATCGCCAATTTTGGGGCCGATTTCCGGAATCAGTATCGGCCGATACCGATATCCGATCAAGTGGGCGGGGCCTAAATGGAAGATTTAAACATCACTTTAAATCTTCCATTTAAAGTGATTTTTAAAACTCAGTTAATGGGGCTCATTCACTGGCATCTATTTTATCGATTCACTACAATCAGATGGATCACCACACAAGACGAGGCGAGTCGACCAGGCCGCCGCTGCGACGTCCTAATTAGACGATAGTGTGTGTAACTGTATTGGTTCGATTGAATGAAGTAAAAAGCCTGTGGAATTTTGATTAGGTCTGGCACTTCGGTAAAACCGTCGAACAAAAAACGGCTTCGTGTCTCTCACAGTATCATAAAATGGTATTTACTGCTATGCTGAAAGCGCGTTAGGCTCCGTACAAGTCTCTCGTGCTAGTAGCTATCTCGTCACTCCATGACCGTGCTAGAGGTAGATCTTTTTTCTGGTCTAGCTAGCCTTAGTAGGAATTTAAGTTAACAAGTAAGAATATATGAGTGGTCTGGTGGGTGGTAGTATGTGTGATATCTCTCTGTTGTTTTTATATAATAGTATATACCAGTATGTCTGAACCTCACGTGTGTTGTGTGTGTTGTGTTGTTTGTTCTCTTCTCTTCTATTTGTGTATAAACCACACGTGAGTCACATTACTTTTACATTATGAACGGGTTGTGTCGAATATCGACTACCTACTCCTTCCAAGACACCTCTCTTCTTAGCTTTGTTATTTATCCCTTATATTGGTTAGCTAGCCCTTAGTGTGTATTCCTTATGTTCTCTGGGCTAGAGTGAGTATTGTTTCCTACCTTATCCTATCGAGAGTTGTACGGGTTTCTTGCTCCGCTTCGGCTAGTCGACTGTCGATTTAGGTACTGTGAAAAGAGTATCTACTGTATTGCCGTTTTGTTCGAGCGGTTTTACCGAAGTGGCCAGTACCGTAATAAAATTCCTACAGGCTATTCTTTCATCATGCCTATAGCTGTTCCTACACACCTTCGTTGTCGTTTAGGACGTCGGGCGTGGCGTTGCCTGGCGACTCGCCTCGTCTTGTGTGTGACTCATAGATCTTTATGGTTGTACTGATAAAATAATGGACCTTGATCGATGATCAATATATATAAATATAGAAGTGACAGCCCAACGAGGTAATCAATACCTAGGTCACGTCGACGTACTCTTATGGACTGTCCGACAGTCCTCTCCCTGCCGGGCAGGTGTGTCGCGCAACCCTTCAAAGAAGTCTGTGCGGTGGAGAGTTCGAAAAGGTTTCGGTGACACACCTACCCGGCCGCCTCTCGCCCCCTCTTCTCTCTTTCGGCCTCTCTCCTTTGTCTTCGGCGAAGGGCGATTAAAGAGGGTACAATAATAGTTTCACCTTACATTGACTTATGTACATGTGAGTGAAACTTGACATTATTAATTCAAGTAACAAACATAACACCTTTCGAGGTC